CAGAGCCAAGTGTCTGCGGGGGCAAATTTGTGGTTATTTTGCTTATACATTATTAGGTTTAGTTACAGCCAGATGTGGTAACTATGGAAAGTTGTGCCAGAGCCTTCATAGAAAAGGTGGACTTTGGAGCAGATATTTGAAAAGAAGTAGGAGACTTGGAGTCCCATCGAAGTTCTGCAGGCAACTTTTGTAGTTTCCTAAAGCCCACTGATCCTCTGAGCAGAATTTTGTAACTCACTGAAGGACTAAGATACTTTAGATTGGAATGCTACATTGGTTTTCCACATCTGAGATCTTTTGCTAGTTCATGTTTGGCCAAACAAGTTTTTTTAAAAAAAAAAAAGAGCCATGGCCTAAGCTTCTGGTCTAAAAGGCAGTGAGTAAGAATAAAGGAAGGAAACATGAGAAAATAAGGAAAGAAGCATCTCAGGTTCTGATGTTTTATATGTGTTCAAGTGCTGTTTTTTTAACTTCATTTAGAATAAATTCTGTCCTTTAGGTTTGATTCCAAGTAGATCTGTGTAACCAGATATTTGCTGCCATGTTCTTGCCTTCTAGATTTTTGCAGCTAATATATAGTAGTCCTCATTTTTGGGGGTAGTGTTTGTTTATTATCAAACACACACACTTATACAAATTAGCATCCTGTGGTATCCTAAATACTAAATCATATGTTTAGGGAATGGCCATGCTGACTCCTCATTTTCCTGGAAGGATCTCAACAATACTTATCTATCTATAAAAAGAGACAGATTTTGCAGTCACATTTAAAAGCCAAGAAGATGATACAAAATGAAAAAGATATGGAGTGGGGAATGAGAAGGAAAAGTAGAAACTGCAGGTACCACTTCTGAATGTTATATAAATCTCAGTTTTTCCCTTTACTGCTCTGATGAAATGGTTGCTGGATAATCACTAAAAAGTAAAAAAAAAAAAAAATCCATTCAGTTTCCCAGAAGGCTGACGATAATCTTTTTATTGTTTTTCTCTGCTTAATATTGTTAAGGGTAATTTTAAAAAATCTTCATTCCCCCCTCCCCCAATGGTGTTTCAAAAATGATAATACTATAGTCCATTCTACAACTTCAGAACTTTTACATCTCACTCTGCTGTGAATATAAACCAGATTTTAGTAAAGAGAAGATCACACACAAAAATTTCATCAGTACCTTTGCAGATTTTAAACTCTGCTCTCTGTTTATGGCAACCTGGTTTACTACTGAATTTGTTAAAATATTCTTCAGTATTTCTCTTCAAAAGATATGACTCATGGATGTATCTTTTTTTTCTTTTGCTGGTCACAGCTGGAGAGTGTACTTAGAATCTTGGTTCTTTATAAACACATTCCAGGATTTTTAATAGCTCTTTTAATAAAAGCTTTAGCTCAGCATGCTGCCTTTGGCAAAAGAATTACAATCTACGAGCCAACTGATTATCTATTCTGCTTGACTATATTTGGTACTACAACAGGAAAGTTTTGACATTTTAATTGGGGTAAGATTTTTGGAACTGAATTTTTCACTAAAGCACCGTTTCCATCCAGCACAGTTAACTCTGCGTCTCAAGGTATTATGGAGAAAGCTTCAAACTATTTTTTTAAAAAATCTGTTCACTTGTTCTGTATTACCTTACAGCACTATTGAAGTCAGAAGTGCTTAACAGCAGTGATTCTAAAAAACCTGAGTTCAAATGTAAAGGTTCCCCTCTGAGCAGTGAAGCACATGGGCTATAAGAAATCAAAGCAACAGTTTACCTAAACAAAACTTCTTTTTGTTTCCGGAGCTCTGCCCTAGGTATGACCCCTTTTGTCTGATGGCACATAATTTTACTGAATGAATTCTAAGCTATTTTCAAGTAAAAATCTCTTCATATACTGTATCAAAATGAAGCCAATCACCAAGAAACATACCCTGTAAAACAGCATCAAACAATAGCAGCAGATAAAGCCTTACGATACTCCACTTTTTAGAATAATCTGGGCAAACATCTCTTAAATTATTACTGTTTTTGTTGTTAGATTTTTATCCCGCCTTTTTTATATATAATTCAAGGCAGCCAACATTCGTAATATTCCTGCCTCTTCTTTTCCCCACAGCAGCAACAACCCTGTGAGGTGGGTTGGGCTGAGAGAGAAGGACTGGCCCAATGTCACCCACTTGGCTTTCATGCCCAAGGGAGGCCTGGAACTCAGTCTCCTGGTTTCTAGGCCAGCACCTTATCCACTACACCAAACTGGCTCTCTAAAAGGTTTAAAAGAAAGATGGAATTGCTGCCAGCTAAAACTGCCCAGGGAAAACCATGCCGTAAGCAGTGAAACCCAACCAAAACAGCTCTGCTGTGGGGTCACTGGCAAGCATCTAAACAGAATCTCAGTCACCCAGCAGGTTTGTGTGAGAGAAGGGGGTCTGGAAAGCAGATTGTAAATAAGGCCATTTCCTTTTGTTCATTCATATGCAAGGATGAACTTCTGTTTGGAAGTGATTCATCCACTCCCTCAACTGCCTACCTATAAGACTGCCTTAAGGTAATGTGGTCTCAAACAAAATAGGATTTGCTACAAGTCAATCTTTGTATGGAGACCAGAAATATCTCTGGAGTCGGTGAAGTTACTTTGTGGCTGACAAGGTACATTCCATATAACTGGGTTCACTGGCCTCAGAGCTATGCTACCCATATTTTGCAGATTGTCCTCAACGGCAGATCCACTTCCAACATGGTATAATAATCCAATTGATTCCAAAGCACAAAAAATGCCCTATTAGTGGTGGTTGACTGATGTGGCAGTCTTTGCTGATAAAAGGTGCTTTGTGCTGCTAGACCTCCAGTGAAAAGGCCAATGTTGTTGGCTCCGTAGGGGATAACAAAGCAGCTCCTTTGCCCTAAAGAGAAGCTTGTGTGCACAGTTACAACATTTAGTAGTCTAGGTTCATTCACTGCTTCCTGCTATTGGATCATGTTTTTGATCATCAAGATGTTTACTTTTAAAAGGAGGGGGTGGGGAGAGATTGTACTGATTAGGACAATAATAACATTACTGTTATTGGCATGAAGGTAGACCCTTTGCCAGTCTTGCAGCCAATCTCAGCTCCTAAATCAACATGGTTTTAGAAACGTCAGTATATTTCTTTCTGCGAGAGTTTAAGGACCTACTACCAGACTGAAAGTACTGTATTTCCTTCTGCAGCTTCTTCTTTCAGAGGGCCTTGGGAGACCTTTTCTGGCATAACTTATATATAGTACTTTCCCTGAAGGACATCTGGCTCATTTAGGATAAATGAGCTATGATTCAACAGTGAGATACTGATTTTTTTTAAAACAATTCATTCTCTCCCTCCACCCTTCTCTGGTTTTCAAAGATATGATATTGGCAATATGCTATTTTTATTAGGTAAAAATTATCACCTATATATATCTAGGTGACGGTGCCTGTGATGTTAGAGGTGGGGAGTGGGGCTTATTTACTGGAATTACAAACTTCAGGGCAAAGGCTAAACCTGCCAAGTTAAAAAGGAAAACAATACTTTCATATTTGCTTTGTTCTCTTGATTTAGTGACGTCACTGACTATGATTAATGCCACTATTTGTTCTTGAAATGGCCATGTTTTAACTGAATGCTGAGTCTACAAAGGAAGACTCGCTGAAGAACAGATTAGGGACTTTTTTGTGCTTTGCTTTGAACCTAATCAGCAGTTCTGCCCCTTCTTATCCCTGGTGCATCTTCAGCTTTCAGAAGAGAGCAGAGTTGGTTTAAAAAGCAATGTGTGCTTGCCAAAAAGAAGTGCAGCTCAGCATCTTGGGTTCTTAAGGTATCTGCGTGCAGTCAGTTTCCAAAAGGGTAGCGGAATTAGGTTGTTGCGCCAAAAACAAGGAAGTATCTGAAGGCACCTTAGTGTCTAATGATTGTATTATGCCATGAGAGATATAAGATGTTATTCTGACCATAGATGGTTGATAGGGAAGGGAAGGACTGTAACCAAAGGAGTCAAAGGGAATGAAATGCAGGAGCTATTGGCTGTGACAATTACCTTATCAACGATTAGGTAATTATCACTTCCTGTGTTTTCTGCATTTCATTTCTCTGATCTCATTTTTATCTCCCTCCGTGTTTATAGATACCTAGAATGACACTTCATGTATTTAATTAGGTAGACGACAATGATTTAGCTGCTCTACATTTATGAATTTTTAAAATACCACAAGGTATTTGATTGTGTGTGTGTGTGTGTGTGTGTGTGTGTAACAAACAGGCATGTCCTCTGGTCTCCAAAAAGACAAAAAAAACAAAACTTTTCTGGCTTCTTTCATGCCGTTGCTGCTGGGAATTGCAGCCACCAGGACAAGTGAGATCATTGTTTCATGTTTGAAAATTCTGAACTTCAGAATAATTAATAATCTTCAGTGTTAATAATAATGGAGGGAACATAGCAACTGGAAGGGAATGGAATTAAACTATTATATTGCTGATAATAACTAATCAGCTAATACTCAGCTGATTACCAGCAACTTTTTTGTTAAGAGGTCACAAGGTATATCAGTTAGGTGTATTCTGTGATGGCACGTATAATATTCATTCTACAGAACTGGCAAACTTTAGGAAGGGGCATCCAGAATTACTGAGCTTGTAGGGTACCTTCTCTCAAGAAAACACATGTGTATTTGGGGGGAGGTTATTATTTTTTAAAAAACAAATATGTGATGAGATGGCAAAGTTGGACACAATTTGCAGCATAATTCGGTTACTGTAGTTCAGAGAGATTCCCCCTCCCATCCAGTATCAGAATTCAAATATTAGAAAGATTTAGACTAGACAAGAAGAAATATAGTTTCATATAGAATGCCATTTATGTTTGGAATTTGCAAGTACAGAAGAGGGGCTTTGGGTTAAATAACTTTTTAAAAGGCACTAGATTTTAACTATAATAGCTAAATCAGACCTTTGAGTTCAGAGGCAGTAATACATTTGAATTCTAGGTTCTAACAAAAAATATGCGTGAGAATATGCTGTTGGCTTTTCTCTTTTTTTTCCACTGAGTTCAGAGGCAGTAATACATTTGAATTCTAGGTTCTAACAATGAGTTCAGAGGCAGTAATACATTTGAATTCTAGGTTCTAACAAAAAATATGCGTGAGAATATGCTGTTGGCTTTTCTCTTTTTTTTCCACAGTTGTGTGTATTTACTGATCTAAATTTTGGAACTTGTGAATAATGTGATTCGTTTAAATTTTTAATTCTGACATACTTTTGCTACTATTTTTATATTATTTCAGACTGCATCCCAGCCAGCAGCAACAGAACTTCCCAAAGCCAGATCAGGAAGAGGTTTGTTCTAATTTATATCTCTATAGTTATTTTACCCATTTTAATTACTGCCTCTAATGTATTCACTTGTCGGTATGTGTAGGAAACGCTTCAGTTTAATAAATTTACAAATTTTAGACATATTTAGAGTTTTAATTGTATTGGTATCATAATTTTTATAGTTTGTGTTAGCAGTTAAAAAAATTAGTCAATTTTTATACTATATAGGTTGCACTATTATTTCAATGGGACAGCTATCATCCTATTTTTCAAAGCTTTGTTTTGCTGGTAAAGGACTGAAATAAAGAGACTTGACTTGATATGTCATTGTGGTCTGGATGAGATTCACTGCCAGCCATGGACGAATAGGTTAATTCACATGGTCTGCCCTATATACCTTATGGATCTGGATAGATTCTGGTGGGCACTTGGGGAGTTTCCCAGCCATCTGACAGGCAGTTCTGTTGAATACTTAACTCAAGCGTGATTCTATGATGATCAGGGGAGGCAAAAAGTTGTCACTTCTCTGCCCTTGTTATATTGATGAGCTGTGAGTCAAGAGCCTTGTTTAGGATGGTCCACTCCCTTCTGGGGAGAGAACAACAGGTAGATTTCCTGCATGGCTGCTCTGACCAGTTTGCACAGTGTGTTCCCAATAAAGTCAGTCAGATCTGCCAATCTCTTGATTCTTTGTGGGCAGAGTCTGATGTGATACCAGGGTTTGGTTCTCTCCTTTCTGCTGTTTAACATTTAAATGAAGCCACTAAGGAGGGGTAATCTGTTGGTTTGGAATAAGATACGTGGGAACTTCCACATAGCCCACATAGCGCTTCCTCTTCCCCCAGTACAGATCCTCTCAAGAAGTACAGAGATGTATACTTTTGGTTTTACATATCTTATTCAGGATGTTGCTTGTATAAATGAGTGGGGTGGGGTTGAGGATTGGTAATTTAATCTAAGAATACCCAGCCATGTGATTTTGAACTATTTAGCCCCTGTTTTTGTGGGTGCTTTGATTAATCTTATTATGTGGTATTTTGGTTGTCATTATTGCTAGTTTTATGGCCACCCACCCACTGAAGTCCTTTAAAGGTCTTGCATTATTCACAGTGGTGATGTTACCTAATTGTTCTTCCAGTATATCAAGGATGATTTTTAAAAAATGAGAAATTTACTAAGTTTCCCAATTAGGTGGGTTTATTGAGAGATACAAACCAATAGTGCCTGTTTTATCCCTTTGTAATGTATCACATCAGAAGTAGTGGCAGTGTCAGCTTTATTGTGAAGCTCAATAGCTTACTTGTGTGCTGTTTCCAAGCGGGCAAAGAGGAACAGAATAAAGCTCTCTTTCTGGAATTTATGAGTAATGCAAAGGCAGTTGAGTATTAAGAATAAACTTCCTCCCTTTGAAATAATTCAAACCAGATGTAGTAAGGGGAAAACAGGGATCCTGCTGTTATAACTTTTTGCAGCTTAGCAGCAGCAAGAGCAAATAACTGTGGCTGAAATAGTTTATTGGAAACTGTACTTGTTGGAAGTAAACTCAGGAAATTTACTAATCCACTGTCTCTTCTTTGCGTTTGTGGCCTAGAATTTAACTGGAACCAACTTTTCTAAAGCTTCGGACTGTGCCTGATCACTTGGAGTCTGTTTTTACTTGCTTTAAACCATCCTATACTTCAGACGGCCACAATCAGCCAGTGCCTTTGCTCTACAAAATATTGTCTCAGATCTGAGAGCTTGTTCTGGTTGTACATTTCAAAGAGAAAGAGAAAGTAAAAATGATGCAAGAAACCCAGTAATTAAACCCTTCCCTCATTTTGCAGGAAATGAAATTGACGTGGGTGCATTTGTACTTCATTAGGCAATTCATCTCTTAATTCCTCAGCTGTGATCAAAAGGAATGCTCTCAAACAAGAAAGCTTTAATTAATATTGGAAAGGATCTTTATTTAAAATGATTGATTTGGGGTTAACAATTTTAGAAGGATCTTGGCATGGGGATAATAAAGCTGGATTCTGTTCCATTTCCAGATAATGAGGGAAGGAAAGAAAAGCTTTATCACATCTTCAGTTACCTGTCTCCCTTTCCATTTTATGGAACATGTTCCTTTGATTCATTATTCCCAAACTCTGTATCTATACTGTAATGGGAGCAGTAAAGATAGTTTGAAACCTCCTGTGTTCCTTCATATGGAAATGTTAAATTAGGATATTAATTTCAGTGAACACCAGAAAGTGGATTGCAGCCTTACAGTCAGATTACAGCCTTCATGATTACCCAGAAAGAAACTCTGCCGTGTTTGGGGCATTTGCTGTCTGTTTGTAAGCCCATAAAAATCCTGGGAGAGGGAGTGGATAGGAGATCCAAGTTGAAGGGGGCTGGAGAAAAGACCTTTCCCCTCACAGTGAAATGTTTGTTCTTGGGGAGCAAAGTCTGCTGCGTTTGTTTCACCACTGCCTCTTGGACATGTGGCTCTGGACATGCGCCAGCCGTAATGGCCTCATTGCTACTGTATGTGCGCAGTAAATACATTGAGAAGGAAAGGGTATCTGCAACTTGCCATGCACACCAACAGCCTTTCCTGTCTTGACTCAATTGCCTGTTTTCCTGCTTGCCTCTGCTATAAATGCCATTGCAGTTCTGCTCCTTATTTCCTTACTGAGTATTTTGTGATTGAGAAAAAGATGAATGTAACAGAGCAGTAGGAGAACGTACGATTAATATAATTAGAGGATGACATTATCCATTCGGCCTGCCATAAAATTCTGAGAACGATTTCAGAGCAATTGTACAATGAAAGACTCAACTGGAAGGTTCCTGATTTTTAGGCAGATTCATCACAGGCTTTTTACTGTACAGAAGCAGAACACTAAATGGAATTGCTCGTTTGAATTTTCTCTTGTTGAAATAAATGCGGAACAGTGGAGTATGGTAAATCTCTTCTGATGGAATAAGGTTGAGGTAGATTGAATTTCCTGCTGGGTGAATGCAGAGCATATTGATAATTATGCATGAGAGTGGCTTTCTTTTTCTTTTTTTTTTGCCGTAAGTGCTTCTTTGTCATACTTTTCCAGAGCTGCATTTCCCAGCCAACATAGAGCACCCCGTGAGATTTAGCACATGCCAGCTACAACATCAAAAGGGCCAGTGGTGATAGGTGAATTTAACTGCTTCTGCTTTTGTCTGGGAAATTGTACCATCACAAAAGTTTCTGTTTTAAGACCCTCCAGGCCTTTTAAAGCATTGATGGGTAGAGCTTACCTGTTTTATATCTCTGTTTCAGTGGAAAGATTAAGATAGTGCAGAATTGATTTCAGCTGAAAACAAATACTGTATGCTTAATGGACTGGATTGTATATTTGGGGGTTTATGTTTCGCAAGTATTTTGAAAGCTGATTAACTTTGGGAGACTTCTTAAGAATAAGTGTAACTCTTGCATAGGTAAGCACCACTGTTTATATGATTTCACCCTTCTTTTTTTCAACACTGGTCATAATCTGTTTTAATATTACAAGAATACTCAGACTTAAGAAGTAGATAAATGTATAATCCTACATGGAAATCCCATTTTTTCCCCATTCCATTCTGAAGCTGTCTAAATGATTTGTATGCTCTGGATTCTGCCAAAGTAAAATGGCTTCAGATAGCACCCTAAGCCATCATCTGTTTTATTGGCTTTGATTTAATGAGTTGTGTGAACTGAGCCACTGTCAGCCTGAAGTGATCCATCTGGCAAATGGGATAGCTCTAACCTCTTTAAGACACTGCATCGTTCAATTTCAACAATGGTGAGGGTTTCTAAATAAGCTGATACCTACAAATGCTGCTATTGGTGTAACTATATCAGGAGACAAATTATTTCTAATATCAGCAGAAGCCCCACATTGTACCCTCTCTTTCAGACATTTGGAGGCATCTGGAAAGAAAAAAGAAACCTTGTCATACTGCTTGTTTTCCACTAAGGGGAGATGCAGAGTCAGAAACGTGTTCCTTTTCTTTGTTCGCTTAAATGGTCTTTTTTTTTTTTTGGCCATTTCAATCAAACTTTTGCTTTTCTGGTGTATAGGGACTATTAATACAGGATAGCGAGATGAATTATAGCTTTGTTGCAAGCATCAGAATTGTTTATGATAGGTTTTATTAAACCCAGTTGACTGTAAATAACTGTAAGCCATACAGGTTTATTGTTTGATTTAGAGTTGATTCCAGTGGCTGTTTGAAAAAGTGAGCAAAGAGAACATTAAGCACTGAGACAATAACAGTGTTTGGGAATACAGAGATTTCAAAGCTACCTGCTGTGTGTGCGTAGGGGAAGAAATATGTCTATAACCTTCAGATATTTGGATTATGTACAGTGTGATGCAGTAAGGCCCCTCTGTTTAGAGAATTGATTATGCATCTCTGATTAACCTTGGCATTAGATAAAGGGAACTGATGCATATAAATCTTACCAACCTGAACTTTGCAGAAATATTGGACTACAATTCCAATCACTGATCTTTGCCAGCATTCTCTTTAGGTGGCAAACTTCGAGTAGCCAGATTGGGGAAGACCGATATAATATGGTGATTTCTCCAACTTCTTTTGTTTTAAAGAGATTATAATTTTAAAATGTTGGTGTGCAAAGAAAATAGAGTATGTATGTATGTTCTAATTTTCCCTTGTGCCTTGCTGAGGAGAATCAAAGGCACCTGGCTGTCAATGTAAGACTAATTCACACTAATGTCAGGTTGTTGAACTTGTGCCAGAGCTCTTCCTCTTTGCTCTTCTGTTGCTGTCATCTCTCTCCTTGTTCCCGTAGTTTCCTTGGCTTCTTTTAAAGATGAAGCATGAGTCCCACTGGGCTAAAAAATCCAAATGCTGCCACAAAATGGAAACATTCATAATTTTTATTTCCTCACACTTTTAATGTAACAAGGCAAAGCTAAAACGAGACAAGCAGCGACAGTAGGCTTTCTCTGAAACTGGGAAAGCAAACATTCCATATTTGGGCCTGCTGTGTTTGAAGACTGGGGTTGCCAAGATTTTGTGCTTTAAAGAAATCTATTGATGCATTTGTTGGACTGTCTGCAGGACAGAAATGGGCTTGAGGAAGAAGGATGCAGTGAAGGACATTTTTACAAATTTGTTTCACTGGAACTATATGATGGTGTCAAGGTCTTACAAGTTCAGCTGGAGCCAACCTGAGGCAGAGTTAGAACAGCTGGAGGAATATTGCTGGGTGACATGCTCTGAGAGATAGTGATTGTGCGGGCACATTTGCCTAGAAAATCCTAATAGTTATAATGATTGAGATAGAAGAAGTAAGCCTCTCTGTAGGACATGTGTCTCAAGAATTTCAAGATACAGAGTTCCTTAGCTCCCATAGGCATTTGTGCACACAAGAAGATGAACTGTGGATATGGCACTACTAAGGATGGGCAAAAACAGTCAAGCTCATTTGGATCCCAGGTACAACATTGTGACCATGATTTACAGGCCACAGATCAGATATAACTAAATGAGCCTATAATTCTGTGCTTGCTTACCTGGGAATAAGTCCTGAGAAGATATGTTTAGCATAGCCTATGTGAGTTGTACTTCTGATCTCCAAAGCCAAAGAGCTGATACTGTTCCCTGTCCCTGGATAATCTGGGTTGAAAGATCACGCTGTCACATCTGCTGTATCATTCTTCCATGCCTGATCGTAAATCCAGTTTAGGCATTCAAAAAACTCAGTTTAAACAAAGAGAACTGAAAGAAATTACAGTACAATTTTATCTCTCAGTTTTTCTTGGCTTTTAAATAAAGGGAAACATACTATATTGGTTGCACCAGGCTCAGAGAAATTATGCTTGAATACCAATTCTTAGGACGTCCACTGATGATTACCCTGCAGCAAAACTGCTAAAAACATTACATTTGTCCATTGGTTGACAGTGGAGCTCCAGTGCTACTGAAGGTGACTGCAGTGATTCCCCATATATAGAGGGCTTGTCCTTCCTGCCACCTTGAAAATAAATTGGACAAATTGAGTATGCTAGTCCAACATATTGCAAAAGCTCTAGAGGTATGCTTTCTGTGATTAGCATTCATTGTAGCACCCGAGCAACCTATTTCAGATGGTTTATTCCCTTTTTTGCAAACCAGTCCCCTTCGCTCAAGGAAGGGGTGAGTCGGAGACATAGTGGAGGCAGGCTGAATTTGAGCCAGTGTGATCTGGAAGGAGACTTTTCTTGATATGAATTAAGAACTACCTGATTCAAGAGGGAAAGTTTTTGCCAACACTTGCCCTATAGGTTCTTCACCATCACCTCTGCGTTTGCTGTCTCAGCAGCTTTTCCCCCCTTGTTTTCTGCTGAGCTCTTTTATCATAATATCCACTTACAAACATTTTTTTCCCCTATTAGTTGCTATGGTTACCTTGGCTTACCAACCTTTCAGCTGCAGGAATGGGTTTGGTGCACTCCAAGTCATGTTGGTATGATGGGAACGGAGGAGTATTCTTAAAAACTTTCAATCCAGCATAGAGGTGGTTGGGAAAAGCAATACCGGATCCTAATTAGTTGCTGTGGGCTCCCTCCTATTGATCATATTGTGAGCCAGAGCGCTGGAGAGCTTAACATTGACCGCCCGTGCCCCCCCTCCACAGTAAGAGGAAAAGATTTGTCATGGTATCTCAGTCTCATTGCCCTTCTAGTGATAGCCAGCTTGATGCTCCATAGAATTCAAAAAGGAGTAAAATTTAGTCTGGTTCAGGGCCTACTTTAAAGGGTTGTTTATTATCTCTAAAAACCTTTATTGCTTTTGAACAGGAACGAGCAACCTTTTTCAAACCAGAGGCTATAATCTAAAAAGTGTGAAGCAGCAGGACCAGAATAAGAATTAAATATGGGTTAACCTGTATGTAATTAAAATAAGAGGAAATCAATTAGTTAATACAATTACAGCCTGTGTGTAATACTGTTTCCCCATCTCTCACAGGAAAATTACCATGCAGCTGGTTTTGGAAAGGCAGTGGGGGGTTGACAGATGTGAAACCCCCCCCCCCCCAGCCTTAGACTTTGGGATGAAGGATAATCTGCTCCTACACAGTCACCCCCTCCAAGAGCTCACTGCTCTTGTACAGTTGGAATGGATCAGGGAATGGATTTTTTTGTGACAGTGTTCAGTTTGTGGAACTTCTTGTCTGTCATTGACCTGAAATATTGTTGAATGTCTATTTGTTGGCTTGGAGAAAGGAGATTTTTTCTTTTAGTCTTACATTTGTTTTTGTTATGAGATTGCTTTCAGTGTGATATTAATTGCTTTGAACAACTCAGAAATGAGATTGGAATGCAAGATCATTAGATACGTAGTGGTTTCCATGACTTTGTGTCATCTTCAGCATTCCTGGGTCTCCCGCTGTAATCTTTCAAAAATCTTCTCCATTGTATAGCATGACATCTTTCTCCTGCTGCTGCCTTCTGCTACATTGGAGCAAGGAAAGCAGATATTGCCTCATGTTGCTCTGGGCACAACTTTGGAGGCCCGAGTCTTAAAACAGAGACAGTCACTTATTCTCTAAATATTTATTCTGTCATCCTGTTTCACAGTGCCTGACCTTCCCATTCTGGAGAAAAGGAACTGGCTGATCCACTTGTACTACGTCCGCAAAGATTATGATGCATGTAAGGTAGGAGCCAGTTTGGTGCAGTGGTTAAATACCCTGGGCTAGTCCAGCCTTAGGCATGAGGCCAGCTGGATGACCTTGGGCCAGTCATTCTTTTTCAGCCCTAGGAAGAAGAAGGAAAGGGCCAAAATGTTACCTGCAAAAATGTTGCCAAGGAAACAAACCACGCAAACCAGATGAGAGCATGTCATTCCTTGAACAACCATTTAACAAGAGACCCTAATTTTAGGGAGGAGGAAGAACCCAGGTGTTTGTTCTCAGGATAGGGTTCAGTTTGGTTTTCCATGGTTCTCCAAGCCAGGGTTTAGCTTCCCTCCTTTCTTTATGCAAATTCCCTTGTTCCCCCAAGAGTCCTAATTAATGTGATTAGCTGTGGTTAGTACTAACCAGGATTGCTATCCGATGGATGATCTGAAGTTGATTAGGGTACTCTTTGGGATAACTCTGAATTGGGGATGATGCTGAATGGTGGAAAGTAGTCTTTCCCAGCCAGTGGTTTGTCAGAGAGATCTGCACCAAGTTGCAGAGTGTTGTGTGACAGCATGAAACCTGTCATGCAAGAGGGGAAGAAATATGTGACACATAAGTTGTGTTCACTTGGAGGGCCTTTTTCCTGATGAAGGACTGTTTTTACTTATAATACCATAGAATCACTTGTTACCATTCTTCCCTCATCCTAAGGAACAGCTGTGTCTGCATGCTTCCTTCTTTGCTCTGATTTAACAAGCTCATGGTTGCAGTTGCTCTTCTGACTTGTTCATTCTGATTCAGTGGAAGCATCAGCTTTATTATGTCCCCCCCCCCCCTTTCCCCAGACAAATATTGACTTTTAGCTGGTTATGTTTCGGAAGGGGACTTCTCTTCTGAGAACAACTTATTTGTTTCACCATCAGGCATAAAAAAGTAAAGTATAGAACAGTGTTTCCTCACTAGTGATTTGGACCAGCTTCCCACATCTTCCAACTGTCACTATGTTGATATATCAGTAATGGGGCACAGGCTTTATAGAACCTCAATAATAGATGGGTCACGGTGAGGAAATGGCCACGTACAGAGTTTGTCTGCCGATTGTACAGGACTGGTTTTGTAAGTGACTGGATGAACAAAAGTTGCATGATTCTGTCACAGTGGGTCTCTAAGTCAACATTTCAGAGACAGTCCTTTTACTTGCTAGAATGATGCTTGACTGGTAATACAAAATACAAAAGAGATATACTGTAGGCATAGATGAGGCATTGCTTCTGCAACTGAGTTTCTTCTTGATGTGTTAGGCTGATCAACAAGAACATTTATTCTGTTCAGCCAAATGCTTATTAATTGGCCTTTAGCAGGCCATTTATGTCCTGTTGCCCAAATCCCATGTTGCACCTAACTGGAGCAGTTTTCTTAGAATGTGGCTCAGCTTTTATTACTTGTGCTAAGAAATTTCTAATATTTATCTAAGCCCGTTTCACAAGAGTTTGGGTTAAATGTTTGAAGCAGCATAGAAGTTAATACATAAACAATCAGACTGACTTCAAGCAGCTTACAAAGTTTGATAAAAAATAAGGCAACATTGTTATAAGATAAAATGTAATGATAATAAAAACATACACATACTGTACGCAACCTAGCACCATCTCTTATTCTTAGGAAAGACATTCTAACATCAGTGCCATCCTTTCCCGAAGACTGATCTTCCGTAACAAATGCTAGCTCAGTGTTGCGTTGCTCTTGTGAAAGGACCAGGCATTGGGTTGTTAATGACATTCTGCATCTTGTCTGAAATAAAAATTCTCATTATTGAATCTCTCTTCCTTTGTGGTTCAGATTACTATAAAAGAGCAACTGCAGGAGACCCAAGGAATGTGTGAGTACGCAGTCTACGTTCAAGGTAAGCAAAAATGATTCCTCCATGGTTAAACAGGTTTCAAGCTGAATTTGTGTGTTTTGTAAGAACACACAGCCACCTCTTCGGGGATTGTCCAAGTTTATGGTGCTTTAATAATCCAGCACATCCTGTTTTCTAGAAAAATCTGAAAGTGGAATATTTGCACAATCTCTGGCTGTTTGGTATTTAAGGGAAGGGGAGATGCATGAAATTCAAGCCAGTCTCTTCCTTTGAGGAGGTAAAGTAATTTACATATGGTGACTTGGAAAATCTGGATCACACCTCCATGCAGCATAGGGGCAATTTATATGTTACTCATCAGGTCATGTGTTGCAATCCCAGTGTGTGTTTAAAATTAAAAATAGCTTTGGGAAAGTGCAGTTTTGAATAGAAGTGTAACCAAGAAGAGGATAGCTACCCTCCTTGTTCATTTATCTATGTATTTAAAATAATTTTAGGCTGTCCTTTAGGGCAGAACTTAACAGCCTTTAGGGCTGTTCCGTAAAACAGCTAGCAGAAATTAAAATATTAATAAGGGATTCTCCTGATTAATGTGCTATGACAATATTATTTCTCAGCTTTGATCTTTCGCTTGGAAGGGAAAATTCATGAATCTCTGGAGCTTTTCCAGACTTGTGCTATTCTGAGGCCTCGATGTGCAGACAACCTCAAGCAGGTGGCCCGGTCCCTGTAAGTGTAATTTTATTCTTCGGGTCTGAGATGTCATATGGGGTGGAGCTTCTCAAGATGGTGTCAATGACATTTGTATCCCTGTGTGCATGATCCAACTCCTCTGTCATATATTTTTCTTGACTGCATGCTTCAGAACCCAGCTGGATCAGACCAATGATTCAGGAGCCCAGCGATCTTGATACGTCAAGGAAGCATGCAAGCAGAGCAGGAAGACAATAACTCATTCTATTATTCTCCTCCCCCCGAACCCCCCTCTATCTATTGGCATATTGTCCTGAGCTTGTGGTTTAATAAACCACAGTTAGTTTGATTCACACAAGTGAAGCCCAAAACACTGGTATATTTCTTCTGAATTTGAAGGTATTGTATAATGATTAATAGGCCAGTTCTCAAAGGAGATATGTCGTAAAGCTTTTTTCAAACCCTTGAAGTTGCTGACCATCATCCCCAGAAGACAGAGCGTCTGGGTTCACGCAACATGTAAAACACTAAACCTAGGTTAACCAAATACAATTGCTATGTTCATATATCATGCTAAACCCAAGCAAATCATATTATGCTCTTTTATTTGTTTATTTAATTGAAAAATGTAAGTAAAACTCAGCAAACTAGAACTGAAAGAAAAGCTAAAGTGTAAAACAGATGATGAAGAAAAGAATAAAAACTTGGGAGTGCAGACAGATGTATATGAATACACTTGTAATATTAAGGAGAAATGCAAACGTTCTGAACATTCATATTCAGTATTTCTAACTATAGCAGTATTTTATAGACCAGTGTTTCTCAACCTTGGCAACTTTAAGATGGGTGGACTTCACCTCCCA